AATCAATGAAGAATACAAAATGCGTAGTGCTTTCCCGTCCAAAATATATCTAACCCTTGCCAATATCGATATATTTTTTGCTATTTTGTGCTGAACATATCTGATATGAGATTTCCAGGAGAATTTGTCATCAACTATGACACCTAGAAATTTAATTTCATATACTCGTTCTATATTAGCTCCCCCAATTTTCAATTGAAGTTCATTATCTAGTCTACAATTTCCAAATACCATAAATTTGTACTGTTATTAGTAAAGAACCTATTCTCTACCTCAGTTCGTCTGGCTATATAATTGAGTTCACTACAAACATTATTTGGCAATTTCACCCGCCAAACTTGACAGTATATAGCTATACATGTTAGCTATATATCAAAATAAATTTACTACAACATGTAACTTAATAAAGTTTGGTTATTATGCCACCAGGTGGAACGGCAACACTGGCTACTCTATTTGAATTTTAAGAATGTACTCATGTTTTTTTTCTCTCAATGACGGCATGCTAAAGAAAAAAAAAGATTTTATTGTGTAGAGTATGAGGCTGTGCCATTTGGGTTTGGGGCAGTTTGGACCCCGAAGTGGAATGTTAAATCACACTTACCCTGGAAGAGACCGCTCATTTATTCAGGCTTTTCTTTTCATTTATCACCTGTTTGTGCATTATAACAAAGTGCCCACTATGAACAATTTTAATCCATAAATATTCAAGTGGCAGCCTGTCTTTTAACATGGTTCTAAATGTGGTTCTGTGTAAAGTTCTGGGAGTCTGATGGCTTCTGGTTTTTACAGTACTGCAGTTAGTCAAAAACCCACCAAATAATTCAAAGAATGTATGACACTATTATGGCAAATTATCAGTGTACCCTAATGTGAGCATGGTATTTTGCACTAAGTAACTTAACAGGTGTGACAGCAGCAAAAACAAAATGCTCCCAGTGACGGTGGTTACTTTAATGGTTGCTTAATATTTATTTAGAAGAAAAGACCATCTGAAGACAGAACATGATGAACTGGGAGCTAAACTTGTGGAAGAGGTTTGATTTTGTTAACTGTATACCTTTTATATAATGTGTGGGCATCACCTGCATATTTAAATAAAGGATTTTAATCTGTGGTATTCAAATAAATTCAAGTAAAATGCAGTAGCAATTTTACCTCTTTACTCCTAATCCCTCTTCCAGTCTTACTTCTGAACTGGCAGAGAACACACAGCATGTGTCTATGTAGTGTTTCAAGTCTAATTAGAAAGTGGCAGAGGTGTAGTGACTGTAAGATGTCAGTAAATCAGTCGGTCCCGGGGGCCAGCTGTGCTCTGTAGATTTTAGGACACTGTAAATTAGCCTCAGTAAACATAAGCTTGTTTGCTAACGGACAGTTAATGGACCTTCCCAGTGGCAGTGAACCTGGCTGAGAGGAGATTTGTGACATGACAGAAAAGCCTTTGCTGCAGAAAAACAACAAATATATCTGAGAGATTCACACTGCAGAACACCGTCATTAACAAGTCATTCTTCAGAACCTACTGCTTAAAACTCTGGAGTGGCATTCCCTTACTAATGGTTTTAAATCAGGATACTCTTGGATCAGACAGAGAACGTACTGTCATAATAAATTATCTTAATTTTTTTTTCAAATGAGATCCTTAAAGAACCATAGAGTGAAAGTTGTCAAATTCTACTTTATGCTTACTCTGACAACTCTTTCGCTTTACTGTTTATCTCCTTTTCATGCCACATGGCAGCCAAGGTATTCTGAGAAGAGGATCATTAGCTCATGCAGCTTGATACTGTATAAGGGTACACTGAAAAAAGGGAAACGGTGGCCTGTTGAATCCACAAATACGCAGTTAGTATTTATTACACAATTTGTTTATGTTTCTCTTCTCAACATATACCTATCATGTCAATTTTAGTTAATCTTGAGGGACTGTCAAACTACTAAAATACTAAATCATGTTAAGATGAAATGGAAAGCTCAGACTCCTAGAAAGCGGCTCAAGAACAGCCAGAAACCGCCATGTTCTCTCTTGTTTCACAGGAATTTTTGCAGCCTGGAGAGCTCTCTAACTTATGTGCTGAACGTGAGTGAAAGTTATCAAATGTCAGCCAGAGTTAGAACTAGACTTTTAAGAATTGTCATTCTTACTAAGCTATAGGTGTTTTTCCCAATATCAAGCAACTTGTGGTAGTTAATGCCAGTATGAACCACCCTTCACCAGTGTTAGCTATCCTAATGTCAGCTGCCCTTCAGCTTGTTATGTAATGTCTCACAAAATGTGTGCACAATATGTTTCTCAAAGAACAGTCAGCTCATTTTTATTT